GTGCAAGAGAGAGCCATTCCTGTGTTTCACTGCCAATCTGCTTCCTTATGTGACTGCGTGCTGATATTCTAGCTCTGCCAACAACATTTATTTCTCTCCTTTCAAAATGCTCTCTTTATTAAGATGCACTGGAAAGAAATAAGGCTATCTGATGGAGAAAGAGAGTTCAGTATGCACAAAAGGAGCAGTTGCGTGGGGATGTGACAGCTATGAAAAGAGCCAGGCTTATCTAGAACAGAGAGAGGCATTTCAATAGGCAAGTTAAGATGTGCTGCCCTTATCTATGCTAGGGAATTGAGTAAAAAAAAATAAATAAATAAAAACACCAACCAAAAAAAAAAACAACCAACCACCAAACCCAAAATCTCATTGAGGCTATTGCTTGCTCATCCACACCAGTAGGAGCCTTAGTGCAGAACGCTTTTGTAGTGTCCAGCTTTGCCTACAGCAGGGGTCAGCAACGCTTCAGGAGCAGTGGGCCAAGTTACCCAGCTCAGTTTGTGTTGGGATGTGCCTTCTGGCTTGCCTGCCACTGGTGCTGCCCCTGCTTGTCCCCATCACCTGGTGGTGGGGGTAGATCCGGAGTGGTGGGTGCTCACTGGTGCAGTTCCACCCTGCTTTGATTCCTTGTTCACCCAAATTTGAAAACTAGCTGCCTGGGAGGAGCTCCAGCATTTCTATTCAGGCAGCAGTGAGGAAGTCAGTCGACTGCATAGTTCATTATAATCTACCCGATTCCTTCTGAACTCTTCATTCCATAGGTGTTAACCACCTTCTTTCCTTTTTAATGGTCTTGATGTTGCACTTACCAGGCTAGTCTTTCTTCTGTAATTCTGCTGTCTGGTAGCTGCTCCTGGTAATGTAGCTCCTATATTAAAGACCTGAAGACTATTTTTAAGTCTAGCTAAAAACAGTGCCTTGGGTCTGGGAACTTTAATTCAAGTGAAAACTCAGGAGTGGAAATAACTTTCAGTGAAGCACTGGATGCTATGTCAAGATTCTCAAGAAGGCTTGATTGTTTTATGCGTGAAAAAAAATAAGTGTACAAATGTACATTTACTTCTAATAACATAACTAATGAAACAACATTTCTTGATTAACAGGAGTTTGTTGTGTTTTTATACATAAGATGATATAGCAAATTAAATGCATGTTCCAATAGTAATATTTGTTTTTGTTTCAATCTTAAACGGAAGAACGCAGCACTGGGTCCCTAGCATATTGGTAAAACTTCTACTTCCTTTTTAACTGGAGAAAACCATTGCATTATATGTGATGAGGCACCACACCATTTGCACCCCTATTTTCAAAACTCTGGATCAGCCCATGCCGGTGGCAACAGCCTCTCACTACCACATGGGCAAAGCTCTCCGATGCCAAAACACTGCAGAAGCCTTTGCTTTGCAGACTGGATAGAAGGGCTCCACAAGCCAGATCTGGCTCACGGGCTGTAGGTTTACCTCCCCCTGTCCTAAAGGGTACCAGAGTCTCTTCTTCCAGACTAGTTCCTCAAATGGTAGAAACTGGTGCAGCCCCTCTGGACTCTGTCAGTGGAGTCACACTGATTGAAGTCAACCAGAATATCCTGACTTAGCCTCCATGTCGGCATAGCTGAACCGACAGTAGCCTCAGTGGGAATCTTCTGCTAAACTCCTTTAAATAGACCAGGGGCAGGCAATTACTTTTGCCCACAGGCCACATAGGCAGTTCCAGGAGCTGCTGTAGGCCAGTCAGCACCCCTTGCCCTCTCTCCCCCAACCCCGCAATAGCCCCATGCACCACCACCAACAGTGCACAGCCCCTAGCCTGGGCTGCCTTTCTAGGCAGTCCAAGCAGCAATGGCTACTTCTGGCTGCCACCACTGCTGGCCCCAGCCCCATGGTACTTGCAGGGACCTGTCCCAACCTGGCCTGCCCCATGCCTGCTCCAGACTCAGCCCAGCAGAGCAGACCAGTTCCAGACCAGCGGAACCAGTGCACAGCCCCAAGCTGGCCCACCCTGCACCTGCTCTGGACTCACCCGCCCATGCTAAGCAGCTGCAGCAGCACTGGCAGTCAGGCAGAAACTATTGCATAGCATGGGGAAAAAGCACCCCCCACATTGCCGCTGCTGGGCCCTTCTTACTGCAGCCGCCTGGAGCCTGTTCCCGGGCTGCCCTGATGTTCCTCTGGACTGCTACTGCTGCCCCACTGCAGCAGCAGAGGAGCAGCGGGGCAGCCTGGGAACAGGCTCTGGGTGGCTGCCGCAAGAAGGGCCTGGCGGGGGGTGGAAAAACACTTTTCCCCCTGTGCTGAGCAGCAGTTTCTGTCCAGCCATCACCACTGCTACTGCTGCTGATGCTGAGCACAAGTGGGAGGTCCAGAGCAGATGTGGGGTGGGCCAGGTCAGTGCTGTGCACGGTTCTGCTGGTCTGGAGCTGGTCTGCTCTGCTGGGCTAAGTCCTGAGCGGGCGTGGGGCAGGCCGGGGTTGGGGCTGTGTGCATGGGTCCCTGCCAGTACCACAGCGCTGGGGCCAGCAGCCAGAAGGAGCCACCACTGCCTGGGTTGCCTAGAAAGGCAACTGTCCAGCTGCAGAGCCGCCCCAACCCTGCTGCGTGTCCAGGTGGTAGCAGGACTGGCTGACAGTGCCTGCGCCAGGCAGGACCAAGGGGCCCACCATGGGCCAGACAAAGACCCTCCAAAGGCTACATCTGGCCCACGGGCCATATTTTGCCCATCTCTGATACAGACAGAGCCACAATCCTTCCCCCAGCCCCCAGGCCTACAACAGGTTTATAAACCTCAGTGAGGCTATGTCCGCACTTCAGCAGGGAGTAGGGAATCTGGAGCTCACTTCAAACCACATTAACGTGAGCTAATTTACTCTGCTCTCCCCACCCCCAAGATTTCCACAGGAACCCTAACCTGGCCTCTACAATTAAGCAAAGGTTTTCTCTAATTGTAGATCAAACGGTGAACAGTCACCAAAGCTGCACACTGGAATTTGAAGCAAGCAGACAGGAGTAGAATGCAATTTAATCATCAGAAAACATGAGGGTTATCCCAAGCGGCTTCAGCCTCCCTTAATGGTGGAAGCAGGATTGTGACGCACAATCTTGCAGGTTAGTAAAAAAAGGACCTTAGCTCATTTTGTACACCACTGTTGCTGGGAAACAGGAACAGAGGCTGCCTTTCCCCTCCCCCTAAGTTTTCATTCAAGTAGGCCAGTGAGTTCCAGCTCAGGAGTTTCTAACGAAGCTAGCTCTTTTGCAAGACTCCTGCTGAGTTATGGGTCTTTTTCCCCCCCCTTAAATTTCGTATCTCAGCCAAATTAGCCAAATCAGTTCTGAATTCTATTGATTGAGCAGAGCTGTTGTTCAAGTCTGTGTGGCACAGCCACAGGCAAGCATCCTGCTTCCCTGACTCTTCAGCCTGGGGCTTCAGATACTCCCAAATCCATGGCAGGCATCCTATGTTCAAGGCCCAAGCCCACAGACCTTGGAGTTCAGATGCCCACAAGTCTTGCTTGCCCTTAGCCAAAATGCCAAAGCAGCAAGCTAGGGAGAAATCCCCCAGCTCCATAAAATAGGTGTGCAGCAGAGATCCTCCCTCTGGGTGGCTATAGTAAACTCTCACAGTGGGGTCTGCTTGCTGGGCACTGGACAGATCTCCACCCTAACCACACAATGCTATTCAAGGTGATCTCAGTCTACAAGAGGCTCCATGAGAGCAGCTCAGCTCCTGCTTACTCCTGGTGTCTCCCCTGCCAGGTGCAAGCTGTCTGAATTAAGGGTCTGATCTCTGGAGTGCAGGCAGAGACCACAGAAATCAATGGCTGCTGTAGGCATTAGCCACTGCCCCAAATCATGTTTGGTGTGAGGCAATGAATTTGCAGAAGCTGCAGGGTGGGGGTGGAGGGTTATTTTTAACTGGAGGGGATCAGAAAGGAGGAAGCAGCTGCTTAAAGGAAAGAAAACGTGACATCAGCTCCTGGGGGGAGGGGGGGTAAGGAAGAAGAGTCCTGTTCTGATCTGGTCCTTCTCAGGAACAGCAGCTAAAGGCTAAGAGAAGAAACCTTCTTTGAGACCCCAGTAATGCAAACATTTGTGGGGCACAGAAGCAATCCCACAGAGATCAGCGGAAATTTATTCACTGGCTTAGGTGTTGGTGGGATCAGGTCTAAAGAAAGATTTCCACACTGTATTGAGGGCTCATCACAGGATGAAACGGGACAGAAAAGGGAGTTGCTTTAAAGCAATTAAAATAGTAGTGTCTAACCAAAAGAAAAGATGGGGGTTGCCATGGACTTTGAGCACAACGTTGAACTTGCCTTTGCTTTATCAGTCACTAGTGCTCATGAGATGACAAACCTCTAACTCCGTTGGAAAGTAAGATATCCACTAGACTCTAGAGTGTTTCACACAAAGAAGTCCTAATTTTGTAAGGCCTCTACAAAAACAGTTGTCTGTTCGAGTGAGGGCACAGAAATGTACATCTCAGGTGTTTCCCCCTAGCTGTGAACAGAGCCCAGGGCTGACAGTCCAGCACCACCTTAAGTGAGAGTTGAGAAGTAGAAATACGGGAACGTTTGCCAAATGAAAAAGACGACAGTGGTAGGGGAAGAAACTTAAATGAAAGACTTTAAGCGGGTGTAATGATAATGAATAATAGACGACGAGACTATTTTCATAAAACCCTTGACAAGATCCTTTTAAAAATTGATTTTTTAAAAGAGGGAAAATAAAATTTACCTTAAAAAGCCTCATGGCCAACTATTAAACATTTGAAGAGCAGTTACTATTCCAGCTTAATCTGTGTTTATT